GGGTTTTTTTTCCTGTCTTTGAGGCAAGGTGATGCATCGAGTTTCAGTTTGTGCTCCACAAAGGGAGTATGGATTTGGGCAGAATGTCACATTCGGCACGGGTACATGCACACAAGCACGTTCCAATGGTTGGCTGGCAGACTGTTTCCTTCCATTTCAGTGTCCTGTACTGCCCTAGACAAGTTCACGTAGTCATTTTAACGTCCCTACACAGCCCTGTGGTAGCAGGAGAGTTAAAGGGCTACAGAGAAAACGGTGCCACTCATACTCACTGTTCCACTCCTCTTGGCCTTCATGCAAAGCTTTGCTGAACGGCTTCAGCTGTTTTTCGTAGGTAATGGCAGTCTGGGTGTAACGATGTCTCAGAGAGGTCCAGGTTTGTTCTAACCTGGTGACCTGTTCAAGCAAAGAACACCCATTACTGACTCCATAGCAACTGCCCGGGAAAGTACATTGCTAGTGGCAGAGTTTCTCTGCTGATGATCTCTCTAGTCTTGAAGAAATTCCGTAAATTAAATTAAATAAACCACCAAACAACTCCACTATTTGGAACACAAGGAAACAGGTTTTTACCTGTGGCATTTCCAGTGCTTTCATAATGGCAGAAAACGCATACAAATCCCCCAGGGAGTCCTTCAGCTCCACTGCGACTTGGATGATCCTGTTCAATGTTGCTGCTCTGTCTTCTAGATTTACCGTGCAACCCAGGATATCCACAGCTATTCCTATTGCCATGGTATTGTGCCTGCAAGTGAAACAATTTATACTACTGGTTACCAGTTATTAAATTAATAATACATTATGCTGTACGTGTGACCCAAGAAGATCCATTCAAAGGTACATTTCAGTATCCTGGCAATAATGCAAACTGACTCCTACCAACATCTGATCAAAAGCAGTGATGCCATTACATGCAATACATATACATTGGCTTTGAATTTGCATTTTAATGAATTTAATAGATTTTCCTAAGATAACAACTACTCTACAAAATTCTGCTCAAGCAAACTACCCCAATTCTCTTTGTCCTCCACACTCACTCAAATCCTGGGACCTTCCCCCTAAACTTCAGCAACCAAACTATTGAAATCTGAATCCAAGAAGCAGACAAGCTAGGTCAGGGCAGGAAGGCCCTAGCTGTTCCCCCTTAACTGGTGCAGAGGTTTTACAGAAAGCTTTGCTGATCGTTTTTTTACTTCACTAGACCCTCCAGCCTCTTCCCCCGTTGCAGAAGGCCGCTGCCCACCTTCCGTCTCTTCCACAACCACTGATGATTGGTCACCTGACCTTCAGCTTACCCGGGCTCCCAAAGGGGAGCTGAGGGTGTCATTCAGCAGCTCCGGGGACCCCGCTTCCAGTGCAACTCCCCTTTCCCTGTACTACATGCACAGAGTTGCCCCATGGCCTTAAGGAATTTTTCCAATGCAAAAAAGTTCTACACCATCTCGCCACATTATCTCCTGCACACGTGAATTCAGAAAATGTGCAGGAGAGCATTCTTTGAGGAAATGTAGAGTACAACGTAGCAATGATCTGATCTTCTGGCCATCTGCCCTGGAAATAATTAACAGGAACATTTACCTTTCAATTAGGTCAAGGCGCAGTTGATGTCCGTAAGGCAAGGTAATCAGTTCAAGACCAGAGTTCACTCCCATAATCCTCCTCGTCTCTTCAGAAACTTCTAGTATCCTCGCCACCTGGCAAGTGCAAAAAATCCATGTGTGAGTTTTGAAACTGACTTGACTGACAAAAAAAAAAACCCAAGCCAACCTTAGCCAGGTAGAAGTCCTCCAAGTTAGTGCAGGGCATACAGAGCTGGTGTGCAATGTTAAAATACCGTCATCTAAGAAAAAAACCTGAATTAACTTAGGCACAGTCGGTGCCTTACACAAAGGCCACCAATAGAATGTTTCTGTTGCATGCTTCAGCCATCAGAAAACATATAAAAAAATGTGACCAAAATGCTTCATCAAGCTTCTGTCCTCCACTTCCAGAAAGATTGATAGGCAAGCTCCTGGAAACGCGGTGCTCTCTTGGCCTGACCCTTGTCGGGGTGGCACTGCTCTTTGGCCTTTAAGATGGACCCATTTGCTTTGCCTTCTGATTTCTAAAAAGCCAACAGCTCAGTACGTGTCTGGATTACACGACAGGGTCCTCATAAGGATTAATTAGTAAAAGGACTTTAAGGAGGACCACGATTGTCGAGTGCCTAATGAAGCCAGTGTATGAAAGCTGACACCCTCACCAATTTGTCTTTGCTTTTTAAACAGACGGTATTAGCTACTGGTTATATCAATAACAATTACATGTGCTAATTAAAAGCAAACCCACATTAATATGATAATGTGAGATTATCAGCTGGTTTAAGGCCTGTATGTTGACACATTTACAAACCAATCTGCCTGCTGTTTTCCCGATACACCCGTCAGCAGGCTTTCTTGGTTGTGAAGAGATGAAAGCCATCTGGGCCACACAACAGGCCTCACTGGTACAAAATCGAGCACTAGAGAAACCTGTTTCACTTCCGGAGACGCTGGGGCGATACGAAGCCCCTGGAGACACACCGATTGCTACGCCGTCACAAAAAGCCCTCTCAGCCATGCAAGCGGCCGCTATTCGCTCCGTCACTTAGCGTACGAGTGCTTCTTTCGTTATTAGAAGTGTCATTATTTAAAACTCAAACCGAGCCACTCACTCCATAAGAAGACCTACGAACTTCAGCCCTATCGCAGATCACAGTACAAAGCATTTATTCTGGCCCAGGTCGCTGCCAATCTCACTGTGTCATGCAGTTCTTATCAGCTCAGTAGTACGCAACAAGCTACCAACAAATGGCAGTCATTGGCTCTCGGCGCTGCAAGGTGGAGATAAAATAGGCTTCTCTACCTGTCCCAGCTAGTTGCTGTTCCTGCTCCAAAATCCAAAAAATCTGTTTCTGTAAAAACACTTCAGTGACTCTTAATTAATTGTACAGGCTCCCACACTTCCAGCAGGCTGGTTTCCTCGGCCCCATTCCAAAGCTTATAGGGTTTAAAATGAGACCAATTATGAGCTAACTGAATGTTATATATAAAACCACCCTTGCTACTTTTCTAAGACGCGCATATCCTACGCCTTCTCGCAACATACTCTTTAACAATATATTAAAAGACATTCTGGTTATTGTTATTAGGTTGAAGGAGGAAAAGGGGAATTGCGGAACTAAAACGCTAGAGAATGCTGGTACTACTCTTGGAACCATAGTAAAGAAGCCGCAGTCTATCACTTCTGAAAAGACCAAGCAGTTGGAGCCGAGTTTTTCTGAGTCACCACGTCTGCCTGAAGCCTCACTTCGCAGCAGCCAACGCTGCTACAGAGGGGAGAAGCTGTGTTTGGTGTTGGCAGGGCCCCAGCAGTGGGCAGGCGCCCGCACACACTCATCCCTCTGCTGCTCCGGTGAGCTGCCGCCCTTCCCAGACCCACAGTGTGAATCGGTGCTGCAGATGCATTTCTGCTGGAGCACCACCATTCCCACTGCCTTTCCTGTCCACAAGGGAGTTGCCTGGTAAGCAGCCACGTGTGTTGCTTCTCAAGCTGCTCTTAAACAACCAAAAACCAACACAGCCCGTGACATTTAGTTCCTGTAGCTGCTACATGGCAGGTACAGCACGCAGTTGTCCCAGTAAAGTGGTGCAGAGTCAACTGCAGTTGTGCTGCTTTTATTACCCAAAGTCATCACCTCATAAGGAGATGACTTCTCCTGTCTTTCCGTACTTCTGATCCAATAGCTCTGTGAGCTGAACGAAGCCTACATTGTGACAAACGGTTCTTCGTGGGTTTACATCTTTCTGAACAATTCCACTGGCGATACAGTTCTCTCACAGGAGAGAAATGCACGAGTCCTGGTAGCTAGTTTTCCACACCGCCTACCCAGCTGTAAGACAGACACTCAGACGAAGGTGAGAGGAGCAGCCAGTTTTAAAAGTTCCCCTGAGCATCTTGCATTACAGCCAGCAGTACGGCAACCAGGTCGCTCACTCTGCCCTTGCAAGCTCACCAGCTAGTTCCTGTCACCAGCAGGTCTTTCCACAGTGGTTTACAGTGTAGACAGCTCGCTCTTCCTCCAGTGTAGAAGAAAGGCTGAGCCACAGATACACAGCGACCAACAGAAGATTAAAAAGATGTATGAAACGTTGAGAATTTGAGTCTAAAGTCAAGGATGGTGGGAGACCTTTAGTCCAAAGGCTTTGTTAATGTTCTTCAAATGAAGAAATAAAAACCCACCCTAAAACTCCTGCAAGCAAGTCAATACATTGGTTACACTAGCTGCAAATCTACCCATTAATCTTTTCAAATCAGTTCTTTAAAAAGTCTAAACTTGCACAATATAAAATAAAATGCAAGAAAATTATTTATTTTTTTTACCTTGCAGTCCATGTTGAGAATATGCTGCGCAATAATCTTTGGATTGTTATTGGTGAAAAGCTCCTTAACTCTTCTTAACATTGATGGTTCCAATGGCCTGTTTTCAGGAGGAAGTAGTTTGGATTCAAAATCATTTGGTTTAAAACTAGACACCGTCTCAAAAACGGGTGCAGAAAAGATGCTGTCTTCTTCAGCCATCTCAGTTGAAGCTTCTAAAGGATCTGCAGAGTTCATTGGAGGGTCATCTTCCAGGATCAAATAGCTTGTGTCAGAGTTCCTGAATGTGTGTGCTCCCCTCTCCTTTTGCGTCAGATGTTCCACATAGCTGTTTTTCTGACATAAATGTTTTGTTGCTGCAGGATCTCTGGCAGGGCTCAGTTCACAGTAGTGTCCTTCTGAACTGTGGGAAGCCGAAGGAGAATCTGGGGGCTTCATCAGGGGTGCTTTGCTGGGTTTAGGTGGAGGCTTTGGGCAGAGCTGACTGTCGGATCCCCTAAGAGCTTCCCCTGCTTGCGACTCAGAGGTCACTTTCTGAACAACTGTGGGGCTCAGAGAAGGTTCACTGCCCGTTCTAAAGGCAGGAGAGCTCGGACAGGAGTGTGCTTCTGCTTCAGGTAACTGAGATGGATGTCTTGAACCTGCAGAGGAAAACAGTAATTTAGAAGGCCAAAACATAGACAATTCCTGATGCCTATCCCAGAGCTCATCTCTTCATGCTATTTCCTGAGGAAAATATTGTCAGATCACATCAATTATTTGCTGACAAAAATGTATATGAAATTGTATTTTGAGGAATGAGCTAGCCAGCAAATTCCATTCACTTGCTGATCCTCCCAAAATCCCAAATACACAGAACAGCTGCACCATAATATTATTCTGTGGTAATGCGGACAATAATTCCAGTCCCTGCTGCATGCATAGGCTATACTGTCAGCGCTGGATAGTCTCCATAGGCTTGGAATAGGAGGTTTCTTTGTAACCTGATCTAGACTATAAAAACAGAAACTTCCAGTCACACCACATAAAAGATGAGTCATTTCTGAGAATGACAAGTTTGAGATGAAAGAAAAGCTTCCCAAAGTCAAGCCTGAACCTGCACTAAGGTATGGAAGGAATGAATTTCGGGGATGCTCATCTTTTTGCTGAACAGTAGCTGATTTGAAGAGCTGGGAAAACACATCCATATGCTTCTGTGTATTTATGCCTCATCCTGTACTCGTTGCGTACGCAAGCCTCGGCATCCAATATCGGACTGAACCCCGTATCAGGCGCTCCCAATCTGCGGTTCTCAGTGCATTTGCTGGTATCTACAGCACAGCGGCCCGTTGCATCATGTGGGCTTTACTGCTTGTTTCCAGCTGGCGCTCAGTTTACACAGCCAACAAACCCCACAGATCACAGCCTGTCACCACTCATCAGCAGTACAACACCAGAATCTGCTCAGAGGACCCCAGGACAAAACGCACGGCAGTGCTCTTCAGGTTAACTGGTACAGCACCACAAGAAAAGTGTTTGCAGTCATGGATTGGAATAAGATAATCAATTAAATTACAGATGGACAGAAACTTGTTTTATGAACGTCTGTCCATTCCCACCGTTAAACGCAGGAGCACACCCTTTCTATCAAAACACAGTCTCACTATATAATATTTAATTTTATCTTTGTCTCAAGAAGTCTTTCCAAAGCAGGCACTATAAATTTTAACAGCTACCATATTCAAAACGACTAGCAGCCTTGGAAATGAACATTAGAATTCATCCACATGGGAATAGACGCATCATTGCAAGCTTCCTTACACAGTATGTTAGTTTGGAAACAATTGCTTAAGCAATTCATCATCACTGATGATGAATCTGAGAAAGAAAAAGCCACAATCAACAACTGATCGAGCGTTGGTACATGTTGTGTAACTGGAAGAAGACGATGACGGTGGCTGTGGAACCAGACAGCAGCAAAGGTGTTGAAAGGAATGAAAAGCAAAAGGGATGGGGGGAAAGAGAGTTTGAGAGAGACAGGAGGACAGAACGGAGTACAAAAGCCATGGTAGTGCTTTTCTCCTGGTGAGGAACGCTACCACATCTGCATACTTTACCCTGAGAAAAAGCAGTTACCAGGATTTCCATGAAACACCGCTTCTACTTAATAGACTTCTATCAGAATGACATGAGTGAAACTTGGGCTTGTAAAGCACAAGCGGGGAAAGGTAATACTATCAAACAGGATATTAATGCCAACTGTAGCTGTCATTCTTTTGGTGTGGAAGCCTGCCGAGTTGTGTGCTAAGGTACTCAGCTAGCTGGTGCATATAAACAAACAAACCCTGTTCCAATGACTTAAAAACAAGCAGTATGTAACACAGCTTACATTGGCCACTAAACATAACTGTCTGTATAACTGTTTAACTCAGAACACTCACAGTCTCACTTTGGTCTGTAGTGTACCAGACCACCTGGGCACACAGAGATTCTACGTGTGAAACATTGAATTACAAAACATACCTATTGGCAGATAGCTCTCTGACTGGTGAGCCTTTAGAGGGAATCTTTTCTCCAGAACATGATCCAGACTAGCTGGCTGGCTACCGCTTTTGTCTTTGTTTCTAGGGTAAACAAAAATGCAAACAAAAACATATCAATATATCTAACACTCTTAACATACATAACTAATTCATAGAATCATAGAATTGTCTAAGTTGGAAAAGACCTTTAAGATCATCACGTCCAACCTTTAACCTAACCCTGACATCCCACCACTAAACCATGTCCCAAATTGCCGGAATATATCGTAACCAAGGTTCATTAGTTTTCTAGTTTATAAGAATAAAAAGCCCTTCGTGCTGTTGTGGTCACAATGAAATGTATGCGACCCTGCAGCATTTGTGAGGGTGTCTCTTTGAATGATGAGACTTTTTAATGGAACATTTGATTTGGACATTGACAGTAGGATCCATTATCCCACACTTGGTATTTTTATTGCAGAAGTCAAATATGGAAAGAAAGACTTCTGTGGAGCAGCAGCTAGATTTTCTTTTAATCCTTTGTTTTATACTAGTCAAGATCTGCCAGGTCACTGAAGAACAAGTTGCACTGCTGCTGTGCTTCCAGAGTCTACATTTGCTCTTCCCTCTGTGGATTTCAAAGGAATTATCCCTTCCCTATTGCCAATATGCATCAACTTGCAAGTGGAGCAGCAGAGCCAAAGCCATCACCATCTTTAAGAACTAGTCCCTTTGGAACTGCAGCCGTGCATCTTGCTTTTCCAAAGATATCTTCAGAATCTGATTATTGCACTCATTTACCAGTCTGCTAGAATTACTTCCTTTTGCTGGACTAATCAAATGGCATTCAGGAAGCACTGTTTTGTCACTATTGTAATACAAATATCAGGGGTAAGAGCCTCCCCATTAACCTGGGGGATACTCCGGAACACACGATGAGTGAAGACTGTGTGCAGCCTTACCACTTACATCATGGCTTCACCCATCCCTGCTTATGTTACTTCCTTAACGTAGCTTAAATAGTCTAAAGATCAAGCCCCATGACCACAAAATAGTTAGCATCTTCTTAACAACGTCAGGAAGTTTCAAAAATCAGGCCCTAAAAAATACTTTGCTAAAAATCAGCAAACCCTCACGCCTAGCCCTCCACCTACAATCAGAGTGAAAATTCACATCACCGACAGCGGGAGCTGTACCTCCACCTGAGTTACCTCATTTCTCTCCATAAGGACAGCAAAATTAAAGTACCTCAAAAGATTTCCTCTGGGCACGCTCTGCTCCGGGGACTGCATGCTGGATATACCAAGACTCAGCCTTTTTGCAGATTCTGTTTTTCCTTCAGGGATACTTGGCTCTTTTTGTCGGACTGGAGTTACACCATACTTTTCTTCTAGACACCTGAGAGGCACAGTCCTGTTGATAGGCTGAAAAATAATTGCTCCGCTCTGCTTTGATATTGGCGTGCGATTCCCAACATAGTATCTAACTAAGCCAGGGATACTGTCGAAACTTTCAAGTTCAAATTGATACTGAACACGGCAGTAGGCTTCGTTGAGTCTTAGAACTGTTCTGTTGACTTTAAAATGCTGAGAGCTATTTTTCCACTGACAGGTAAGAACGAAGTTCCCAGGACTGGAGAGAGAATCCCTAATCAGAAAGTCTCCATCTCTCTGAACTAGGCCTTCTGCCACCTTTGAGGAAAAAGAATTGTAAAAAAAAATAATTCAGAATCAGAAAACAAGTAGTCAACACATCGCAACAAAATATTCTTAAACAGAGGACTTGGTTTGGCTTCTCTGGGAGGAGAGACAAAGCCAGAAATACAAAGCAAAGCATGAAGTGTGGCAGAAGAATGATGTCTCCAATTTTAAAATTAAGAGCTTGTCCCAGAGCAGAGATCTGGAGGGGCTGCTTGGAAAATGCCCAGCGGCCAGAAGCACGACCCACTTCTGCATATATATTTGTTCTAGTTTGCTAAAAGAAAACAAGGCATGAAGGGAAAGCAATGACTCAGGATTTGAGAGTCTGAAGTATCTGAATAGACAGTCACACTGAAGTTTAGAAGCCATTACTACAGGACACCAGAAATTGTCCTTTCATTATTACTTAACGTGACAAAAGCTTTCATTTTTTATGGTTTGTGAATACTGCACAGTACTAGGAAGAGTCATAAAAATATCATTTTTCTGTTTTGATTTAGTCCCTTCATGTGATAAACTACGCATCTAACAGTTAACCTTAAGTGCAGCATATGTGGGGTACGGACAGGAGGGACCCCGCCAGGGGAGCTCCGGGTGCCCTGGGAACCTAAGCTCCAATCCAGTGACAGCTTTAACACATTTTTAACTACGATTGTAAGGATCAAAACTAAGTTACTGCATGGATTTTGTTATGTTTTTTCTTTTCCCCTCCCCCAAACTCCAAGTGCAAGAAAGAAAGTAAACAAGAACATTTTAACTTTGGTTAAGAATACTAAACCAAATTAATGTCGGTGTGTCTGAACAATGTGGGGATAACACGCTCATATAAAGCTTGAATTCCATTTCCGACTTTATTCGGTGCACACAAATCCTGAAATACCTGTATTTTCCACCAGCGTCTGCCCTGAATCCTTCCTCAGCCTCATTTTATGCCAAGCTGTGACAAATACCATAGCTTTCACACGAATAAGCTTTATGTTTCTACTAAATTAATGCAGATATCAGAGACACATATAGTACTTTAGTGCAATTCTGCTTGTCTATAAAAGCCCAAAGCACATTTAGCAATGCAAAGACCACATACCTGCCGAGGAATACGTCCATGGTACCAGGCATGGCTACGCAAGTCTTCACTGCTCAGCTGCAGCTCTTCCTCTAACTCCTTCTTCAGTTTTTCTGGGCTGTTGTCCATAACCTGCCTCTCCCTAGAAAACTGCAATAAGAGATTAAAAGCTTCAACTGTGCCAAGTTCAGTGATTAACATTTTACCTGGGTTATAACTTCCATCACATGATCTGCACTAGCCACTGGAATGCAGGTGCTGCTTTTAGCAGGCTGGCTTGGCTTCGCTCTCTGGATTGTATTTGCAAAATCCAGCATTTGGTGAGATAACATGTTATTGCTATACACTACACAGAACAAAGTGTTCTGCCTGTACACCAAGCTAATAAGGACACACCTACAAAGTCCCTTCTACTTCCTCTTCCCAATAAGAATTCTAACTATACCCCCAAAAATGGAGCTGGACCCAAATGCTCTGCTCCAATATTCTTCCTCCTATTTAAACTGCCGTTTTAAATTCAGATTCTTTCCTCCCCACCCCCTTTGAACCCATCCAATTAACATTCCAAATGCATCAAGACAGGCTATCCTGGACATACATAGTTGTACAGTATTCCTGTTGCACTAAAAAAAAGTTTGCCAAAGTAAATTTTCAACCTTAAAGGGCTTCCTTCTAACGGTCATTAAACCTGCATGTCCAAGATGTTCCCTTCTTAAGGAAAAAACTCTCTTGTTGCCCGTTAGCACAAAAGCATGAGATCTGCTTGGAGATATCTCCCTCACCACTATACAACTACTCAAGTTTTTCTGGAAAATTGCAATCTTCATCTCTTGGAGTACAGGTTCCATGCTGGACCACTCTGGCTCATTAGTCCTTCTCACGGATACTGTGTTGCTAATGACGTAGGGTGCAGCAGCTCATCTAGAGGGTCATCTACTTTCATAGACACTCAGTGGAGGGAAGTTCTTTGAACTTCCTCGCATTCCCCAAGGGCTGGAGACTCCATCCCATATTTACTCTTGCTGAAGAGTTTCAAAAGCCTAAGATAGCCAAGGTTGATAGCAGGGAACATGTTCTACCTTGGTCAAAGAATCAGAGTATACCCTCTCTGAAAAGAAAGTACATTTAAAACAAGGCAGGGGGGGGAAGGCAGCTCCAGCTGGAGAGCAGACTAAAACACAACATTTTTCCCCAATGTATTATGGATTTTTTTTTCCTAACTCTGTATATGAGCCAAAGCTCACAGGTTCCCTTCACTGACACGCTGATGTAAATATGCAACACATGCACTATTTAAAAAGGAACTGGGAATGCTCGCCCACCAATCCCATTCTTTCTGTGAACACTGCTCTCTGTAGCATTTTCTTCTTCATATTGAATTCCCACAGCACCTAACCGTGGGAGCAGGTGGCACACGTTTAGCACTTCTTTGAACAGCCCTCCCTGCAGTTTCAAGCAGACTGAATTACAACATATTACTAGACAGCAGATTTTTGGTGGAATAATGCCAGAAGAGGCATCCTGCTGCCAAGACTATTTAAACATGCTGGGAGCGCAGAGAAATTCTCCTCTTCTCTCTGTTTTTCTCAGAGAAAACTAAGGCTTCTCAGACGAACACAACCGAGCAGAGTAGCTCATGCAGGAAGGCAACAGATAAAGACAACCTGGTAACGAACCACCATTCACCTCAGTAAACCGTAACAGGGTAGTATTTATCCATACAAATGTGGCTTAAAATGGACAGTAATTTTCAACAAGGAGTAAATCCTTTGTGCTTTCGTACAGCTAAGGTCTTTCACCAACTCATTCCAAGCTTCACAAGAAGAAAAGTCTGCAGGAACAAACCATGCCACAAACAAAAAGACCTTCACTGCAAGGGCCCTTTCATGAACCCATGTACAACGTGAAGAGATTAAGTTACTGGGTGTAGAAAGAATCATAGAAGAGGCTTGGTGAGGACTCAAGTCCAAAAGCATATCAAAGTATCAAGACATAGTCAAGTAAGGCCAAAAATCCCCCCTCCGCTCCAAACCTATCAGGCTAACATAGCTGAAGGACTAGCGCCACGTGGCTGCCACCTCCATTTCCCAACTCAAATGGCCGGGTACCCACGTAAAGCTGACGGGCGTTGATTCCGGCAGTAACAGTTAACCGCTCCCGTCGTACAGAACGATAGCGAGCATTATAGCATTTACGTAAGCTGAAGGTAGAGCGCAGAGCACGCAAACGGAGAGCAGACTTGTCAAGAGCACCTCTCCCCTGACCGCGCAAGGAAGCGGCTGGAGAATTTTTAAAGCATCGCCTCCAATCTAAACAACAGCGTTCAGTTGTAATGGCATACAAACCTTTTACATTCATAGCTGTGTATCTTGCTGACCTTCTGAAAGGAACTACTGATTTTATGTGAACTGTATTTAAGTTTTTGAAAGATGCTTTTGACTGAATAGAGAACTTAAAAACCCCCAAACTACTGTACAAATTATCATCATCATTCCAAAAGCATCTCACTGTACCTCAGTGGTAGGCAAAGCTGCTGTAAATGGAAGAGACGATAGCATACAAACACAAGAACTGAATTTGCTTAGGAGAGCTAGATTCTTAGCCAACAAAAAAGACCTATAGGTCTCTGTGTGCGGACTAATTTCAACCATTGTACTGACACAAATTATCTTAAAAAACCAGGCTGATCAAGTTACAGATACACATGAATTACAAATACAGCAGAGAAACCTAGAATTTCTTCTGCTGCTTAAATGGATTTTTCACTACTGGAATGAATGTAATGAGACACATATTGCACTTGAATTACATCTAGCAATACAACAAGAAAAACGTTTAAGGAATCCAAACCAACTAAATTGTTAACATTCATGATTATTGGTTTGTTAAAAGTCCTCTCCACCGTGGTCTACCACACTGAGCGTACGCTGATTGCCAGAGGTCAGACATCTCTTGAGATGAAGCAAACATACTTAAATAACACTTATACAACTCTGAACTTAGTGGAAGAACTCCTGTGGTTAGTACAAATCCCAAAATACACAGGGGGGAAGCTGCCTAGGTAAGCAAGTTCAGTAATGGCCTGTCTTCCCGGACAGTTTTTTTGTTGGCCGAGGCCGATTTCTTATACAACCTACCTCTGTTAAAGGGGTAGTGTGATGGATGAACTGGCTGTAACCATACCAGCCTATGCCTTCCTAGGCCAAACGCTATACTCGAGGCCTCCAAGAATCTCTGCACACACTGAACTTCCCATCATGCAAATAAGGCCTCAAAAATCACTCCCGGCACAGCCTCCACAAGCACGTTAGTCCGTAAATAAGGAAGAGTGTAAGCTTAGAACAGTGTAATAACTTATGTCGATGGACTTTCTTTTAAAAGAAAAGGCGACCTGTTCCACACAATGTAATGCAGATACTTCAGCCTCATTTCCCAACAGCACCCAAAAGTTAATGGACAGTAATGGTACGCCGTGAATTTGCACTAACTTCATCGTGACAAACCTCCGTTCAGTAGTATGTCCTCAGTTCATGCCTTTGTCTACGACACTTTGTTCGCTCCTACCCAACGACAGAAAGAAACCTCAATCTACATTTACAGTTACATAGTGGAAAGGATGGTAAACAGAAATTTAAAAAAAAAAAAATCTAGGACAAAAATTGACAACTTCAGTATATTCTGCAACAAAACATGGGTGAGGTGACACAGGGAAGCTTCCAGTATGAATTCTTTAAGATTTCCAAAAAGTAACAACCCTGTCAGAGACCCCTGGAATATTAAAGCAAATAGTCAGCAGAACTCTTTTCAAATACAGATGCTTCTTCTGACCTACAAAGAACTCACCCTAAGTATGTGCTTTCCAGAACTGTTATTCACATTTTAGTAACATTGTTTCCCGTCCTGGTCCTATTTTAAGATATTCCTGCCATGCTGAGTTTTTGTGAATCAGTCTTTAAAAGAAAAATAAAAAACTATTTAGCAATACAGTATTATCAACCTCCAGCAAAAGCCCTCAATCCTACTTGCATACCCAATGGAAAATCTAGGGAGCCAAGAGTCTGGAAGGGGGGAAAAAAACCTTCCAGTCAGTAGTTCTTTTAGCATTTTTAATAAATGCCATGCAACTTTATTCTATTTCACAAAGGATTTCTACTTCAGGGCCATTAAACTAAAAGCAGACTGTGCTTACAGATGTAACAAGCTACCCTTGATATTACGTATTATTTTACATTTTTTCAGGCAAATATTAATTAGCATACCAAAACCTGAAAAATAGTAAAATTTAGGGAAGTAAAACATCAAAATACGATCTTATTCCAGGTAAATTTGGAGAGGACTTGACCTACCAGAACATGCTGTACCTATGAAACTTGTGAAGACATTTTAATGGGAATTTCTCACAGTAATCAGTTGTTTGTGCATCCATGGGGTTACTTTTGAGTGTTTGGCGCTCTCCAAAGGAAACTCACTATATCAAGCTCTTGCCTCAACCTTCCTAGCTGAATTTATTGCGTAAGATTAGAATAATTTTTAATTGTGCTGAATAATCTGCTGTACGAGTTTGGTGGTAAACAAAATACAAAGTCCCACAGTTATTTCTGTTGCCTACTGGCAGCGGATTCTTTCTCCAGCTTGTATCTGCAACAACTCCAGTGATGTACACACATCAAGGGGATATCAAAACAGCTGAGAGGAGAATCACACAGGTTTGTACACATATACCCAAAGTTGCAGCTTGTGTGTTCTAGCTTTTGTGGCTTACCTCAATTGTTATTAATTCCTCTCTAAGGTGATCGAGTGGGGGCTTTTTGGTTTTTTTAAACACCTTGAATTCTAAGGGAAAGACTTCTACTTTTTAGACATGGTATGGAACTGGTCCCAAATCTGTCATGCTAGATCACCGACTTCAGTTCTGATAACGTGGAATTTCAGATCACCTCTCTTTGTATCCTTCTGGCAAAGTATTATTTACTTAAAGCACAGCCAAGGACTGTTACAGATACATGAATAATGGTGACCACGTTTCCATCCAATCTCAATTATTTCCTGGTGCTCTTGCACAGCTCTGCCAGCTGACATTTAAATTAGCCCAACAGGCAGCCTTGGAACCACCTGATTTCCTGTTGCCTTGAAGGTTTCAAGAAAAAAAA